CTATATGGATAAAAAGCGAGAAAAATGCCTGTTCTGGTGATGAATCATAGTCGTAGCGCAATAATAATTTATCCATCCGCACCACCGTCTCGCGATTTCCTTCAAAACAATCTATCCATGGCTTTGTGTGCCAACTCCACTCCCAGACTAACCAAAGGAGAGCCATTAGTTTCCATCCAGGTCTAGCGAATGGATTGACTTACAAGGTCGCAGCGTTTGCAGGCACCGCTCTCGCCAGTGCCGGGCCTATTCCAGGGAAGAAAGCCTTGAATCCTCCTTTGCCATGGATTTCCCTGACGATGCCACCGATAGTTGGTTTGCCCTCAGCTGTCTGTAGCCGACTTTTGACCGTATCTATAGGGAATACTGGAATCCACATAGCAATGCCTGCTGCTCCTCCAGCAGCCATTACAGCTGTCAAGCTAAGCGGCCCAGGCTTGCCGTTCTCATCCTTAGGCGTGAGAGTGCGTTTAATGTATTCGTAAGTGGCGAAGTAGGCCGCTGACCCTGGCCCGTCTCGCGCCAGTGTTGCAGCACTGCCGCGGAAGACGCTGCGGATTCCACCCTCCTTGTAGAGCTGGCGGACAACGTCCACACCACCGGAATACTTTGGTTTCTCGCCTGGCGCTAGCTGTTTCTGTCCTTGGATCTGGAGAAGGACTTTTACTCTTTCAAAGGGGGCGGTTATAATGGTCATGGGGATTGCAGAGAAGAACCCAGCGGCGGAGATCTGAGCCACCGTGAATTGGTTATTTTCGACGGTTCCGAACCTCCTGACCAAGCCCTTGCCCACGTCATAGCCCCAGAAGCTAACAGCAACTAAGGGAAGGTTAACCCAATTTGTAGGAGGAGCTTTGGGTTTCGGATGCTTACACATAGGTGTTACTCCGACAAGTGGTGCTGAGACGCCAGCGTAGAGACCCTGCGCCCTGTCAATACCGTACATGAGGTAACTGGTGCGTCAATGACGAACCCTTCGAAGCCCCTCACGCGCTACCGTTTTCCGTACGACATCGATGGCCGACGAGTACAAGCCCGTTTCTGCGGTCTGCAGCCGTACTTTGACGAGATCGAATGGGTGGCCTATTGCCCCCGGTATTAAGCTTAGATTCCTACATTCCATTTTCCGAATTGCAGCATGAAAACCACGTACCAACAACAACCGCGCAAACACCACCAACGCCTCCCGCAATCAGTGAACGCAACCCCGAAAAAGACCGTTTCGTCACTTCCTTGACGTCCCCCTTTAATTCTTCTTTGGATGGCATGTGAGGCGCTGGCAACTTGGAGTTTGGAGGAGTAGACATGGTCAATTAGCTGTGGAGATGTAAAAAAAAAGGGCTGTTTGCGACACTGGAGCTTTAATGAGTGTCGCGCCGACCTCTTTTTTCCCCTTGCTTTTGATTTCGCGTATATTGCCGAGGCTCGAAAGTTTGCTGTGTGCGACAATCGGAGCAAGGGATGTGGTGAACGGGCTCCAGTGATGCATGTCATGCGAGATCCACAGGATTTCCAGTGGTCCGTCACACCCACGCCCGCCATGACGGTACCACAGTGATCGTATTCGCCCGCCATAAGAATAATGCATTACGTATGTCATACTCGCAGCTCGTTCATAGTGATCAGTATCACATGTTGTTGTCAATGTGACCAGAGTAGACGCGCTTTCCGCGCGCCAACTGCCCCACCCACTTCACGGCATGAGAGAATCTTTTGTCTTGACTGGAAGAGACTTCACTTAAGCCCAGCTCCCCGTCGTGCTTTCGAATGCGGCGTCAAACCCGTACAGTAGGCTTTGCTGCTCCCAGTCAGCTTAGTCAAAGCTCCTTTGTTCCTGTCGCTCTGAACTGTTTGCCGTAGCGACCCTTGTTGGCGACTCTACTCGAAGCTAGGATCGATCACCTGGCCAGATCTAGCCACACAACGCAATCTTTGAATCTGGTATAGATTTCGATATTCGCTCAAATGCCAAACTCTACAGGTCGTCCGCCTGCGATGGCCATCATTGCCAGGTGTGTTTACAAGTTACACTGCTCCTATCCCATTGCTCTCACTGCTCATAGGACCCGCACTTGTATTTGCAGTTTAGAGGCTATTAGATGGGTGGGCGCTCTCACTAACTGCTATATAGACACGGAGCGCGTCTCGACGCTTCGGACAAGCAGTGGCATCTCACATCTCCCACGCCATATGACCCTCCGTTGACATATGGTGGCTGGACACAGTCCCGAGCACTGGGGGCCAGGATCGCCAGCATTTTGCATGCGCGGGAGAAGCCGCAAACGCAAAATACGGCGCACATCAATGGTGCAGAGGCCTCTCATGATGGGGTCAGCGGTGAATCAGAGAGCCCTAAAAACGATCGAATGAAACGTAGGAAGCATAGGGTCGTGATTCACACGTCACCTTTCCTTCGCTGCGTGCAAACATCAATTGCCATATCTGCAGGCATGGCGCAATATCATGGCAATCACCAACCCAACCACCAAACAACAAAATCTCCGTATCTTTATTCTCAGTTGAATCATGGTGGGCCTCCAATATCGCCTCTACTCTCCGCTATACCGGAACCGGGCATCGAGACTTCATTTCGTGCCGCAAAGCAAGCAAAAGCTCACAAGCCGAGGAAATTTCGAAGACCAACTCTAAGAGTTGATGCGATGCTAGGGGAATGGCTTTCACCAGACTACTTTGAGATGATCACTCCACCACCCAGCTCGGTCGCAATGGTAGTAGCCGCAAAAGCTGAACTACTGCGGCCTGGAGATTATAGCGAACTAGTTACTGAGGCAAGAGCAAGCAGAGGAATACATGGCTTTCCGGGCGGATGGGGAAGCCTTACCACAGGCACAGGGTCGGTACCCGAGGATGGCCCGCTCTCGTCGATGTCCAATTTGGGGCAAGCACTGCAAAGAAACGGCCGCCCAAGCAGCGTTGATGACGCACACAGCGACAAGAGTCCTCCAAAGCATTCTCCCACGCAGGGGAATCATACTGGCTATCAACCTCCGCCACTGACTTCTGCGGTTTCTTCCTCCGACCCTATTCCTGCAGGTTTTGTTGCTCATGCACGAGACGCCTGCGTAGAGGTCGACTATCAATGGGATAGTATGCGAGAACCGCGAAATTGGGGTGATGGCGGCGAGTATGGCGAAGAATGGGGGGCAATGCACAGGCGATTTCGAAAGGGCCTTGGCCACTTGCTTTCCTGGTACCGTGATAGCGATCTTCCTAAGTCCAGAAGCGAGAACACTTACAAAAATGGATTTGGTGAATCCCTTGCTTCTCAAGGGGTTGATGATTTGGAAGATGACGACACCGATATTGTTGTTATCCTTGTTACTCACGGTGCCGGTTGCAATGCTTTGATCGGCGCTCTCACTAACCAGCCTGTTCTTTTAGATGTGGGGATGGCATCCATGACCATGGCAGTCCGAAAGGATATTGTCAACCCGCCACCTTCTACGGAGCAGATAGCACCAGTTCCGTCTAGCGCCAGAGTACACAGCTTTTCCCAAGAATATGATGTCAAGCTTGTCGCATCAACGGAGCATCTCCGTGCGCATGCAAATCCGCTCGTTATCCCCCAGCTACAGACTAATTCTCCAACTCTATCTTCGTACTCCCCCCAATTCCGGAATCGGTACAGCACAGGTGGAGGTAGCCCTGTGGAAAGTAGCTTCTCCATAGACGAGCCAGCAACTCGATCTACACCCCCAGTTGGGAATGGCGGTACCCGCCGAAGCGCTACGACCGCTACCCCGAGGATACCATCAAGGGCATTCAGCTCAAGCCCCGGACCTAGAACTAGGACTGGTTCATCCCTTGGGGGTCTGTGGAGCCCGCCTATAACGAGTAGCGAGGCAACAGAAGAGGAGTTATCCGAGGGGATCCTTTTGAACTTCGAGGATCTAGGCGAGGGTGGGAAAGAAACGGAGGAAGAGGGGGACAGAGGGCAGGCATATGGGACAGCGGGCAGACACAAAAGCCGGCCAGGCCTTTGGGATGGAGGCCCTCTAATGATGCCGGGAGAGAGGGACAGAGACAGGAGACGAAGGTGGACGATGGACGAACACTAATGGTATGTGGCGGTGAGCATATACTGTAGGCCCTTATGGAACTTGCCCGGAACCTAGTTGGCTCCCGACGATATTGCTACCTTGGCGCGTGCTTTTGGCCATTTCACATAAAAAACGACTTCCGCTGGAGTCTATATGCTCGTTACTCCCGTGGTCTTGAACATATTGCCTATTGGGGCTCTTCTATTGTTCCTTTGTTGTTTCTTTGTTATTGGAATCATGGCGGAGTGTTGGAGCTCGGATATGGCTCGAAAAGGACAGACCTAATCCCACTCCCCGTTGAAATATCCCCCGTGCCCTAACCTCTCTTATCCAACTATTAATCCTTGCTGGGGCCTCACCGATTGTTTGAACAGATAGTTATAATGCCCTTGGTGTCTTATAGCTCGTTATTCCGCCTTATATACATAATCATATCCTCCCCGCTTTAACTAGCTCTGTTTCTCCGCGGGGGTGCTGGTGATTGCCCAGGTATGAAATGCCTGGTTAGGAGCGGACCCAAAGCTCCTAGAGGAACCGCCAATAAGGACGAAAAATATCAGAACTTTTTTTTAACCAGGCCATGGTTATTAGCGGCAAGAGGACTACCGAAGCACCTCGAAGGCTCTATTACCTAAATTCCGCATAACGCTGTTCTCCCTGCCGTCATCGTAAAGGATGGATACTCTGGGAGCCCACCTGCACTCCTCTCGACTATACATACTGCACCGTCCATATTTAAATAGTGCGTTTAGTATGGAGGTGCTGTGAAGTATGGTTAATCGTTGAGTAAAACTTGCGGTGGGGACAGGATTTCTCCTAGTCCTGTGAGTAGGAGAGTGATTTGTTGGCTGGTGGAAAATTATACTCTAGAAATATGAAGGCCCATCGCTAAGACTCCACCGAGCGAGGGAAATTTGAAAAAGAAAAAAAAAGAGAGAATGGGGTTTGCGTGAATCGAACACGCGACCTTCAGATGTGCTTGAACTTCAGTCTGACGCTATCCCGACTTAGCTAAAACCCCATTATTGAAATTGGTGGTCAAAGAATGCATTAAGTACCCCACAAGTTCTCAGCCCGATGTGCTTACTAACTAGTGCTTGCCCCAAGCGAGTGACTGTTCTCACGTTAATTTTTCGCACTCCCCTCCGCAACCATGGCAATCGCTGATTCTTCTCTACCCTCACTGCTTTCAGGACTCACCTCCTCCCTCCACTCTGCTGTTTCCAGTGTACCTGATGAAATAACAATTCTCCCCCCAAAAGACGGTATCTCTCTTCTAGACACTAAGAATGAGCTTCTACTTTCCTACCTTCAGAACCTAGTTTTCCTCATCCTCGTCAAGTTACGCAATGGCTCGCTGTCAGAGAAGTCGCAGGTGAACGGTGGTGGGGAAGCTGGAGGGGCGGATAGTGGCTTGGGAGCGGAGATTGTAAAGAAGCTAGTGGAGTTACGGGTTTATCTTGAAAAGGGAGTTAAGCCACTTGAAGGGCGACTGAAGTATCAGATTGATAAGGTGTTGCGAGCAGCAGGGGATGCGGCGCGGGAGGATGCACAGGAGAAGAAAGCCAATGGGGCAGGAAATACGAATGGCCATGAAGATTCGGAAGGGGAAACTCACCATCGTGACAAGATTGCAGCAGCACCCCTCCCTGACGAGCTCTCCTATCGTCCTAACCCCGCAGCATTTACCCGCCCTGCTATCAAACCACCAGCCGGCTCAGCCCATCCCAATTCAACAGACATTTACCGCCCACCACGCATTACCCCTATCGCCCTCCCTGCCCCGCCGCAACTTGCAACCCGTCACCCAACTAAATCTCGCACTCTCGATGAATTCCTCTCTACTGAGCTCTCTACCGCCCCCTCTACCCTCCCTTCAATAGGTAGCACCATTGTATCTGGCGGTCGTCGCTCCAAGTCAGCCTCCGAACGCGCTGTTGAAGCCGAGCGCGCTGCATATGAAGAAGCGAATTTTGTGCGCTTACCTAAGATATCGCGGAACGAGCGCGCGAAACATGGTAGGAGAGGGAAGGAGGCCGGGTATGGGGGAGAGGAGTGGAGGGGGCTCGGTGAGGGGGTAGAGAGGATAGAGAGGCTAACCAGGAAGAAGGAGGGGGGGGTAGGGGGGGTGTTGGGCAAGAGTAGGAAGAGGAAGGATATCGAAGGGGGGGGCAGGATGGAGGCCGGGGAGAGGTTTGAGAATAAACGGTTGAAGGTGGCCGGCGGGAGGAGAGACCGAGGGAGAAGATAGAGGGTTCCCTAGTGGTAGGCCTACACTGGCCAGGCATCACTAACAGGGGCTTTCCGGACCGTAAGAATACATAATTCGGTACTCAAGCGGGCCACCTCGCCGCCGTCAAGCAAAGGCCTTCTCAAGCTAACCACCCCGTCATAAATGGACATGCATCGCAGGCTATATCAGGAGTTTCAACAGCCCGACTTCCCCTGAAGATCCGTTTTTCGAATACTGGGATCTTCGCATCCGTTTACTAGAGAAACCCTCGAATTTAGTGGTATCTTTTAATGCGCTATATACATATATAAAAAGAAAGCGCGGACCTATGCCCCCGGACGCCGGAGCCAACCCTAGAAAATTTCGCCCTCCCAATGTATGACTAAACACAATGTTTCTACCCATATGCCCAACCCCAAACCTACGAACCCGCCGGCCTAGCCCCACTAAGATTCACAACCGTCCCAGCCCCGGCCGCGCCCCCCCTGGGCGAATCCCCAACCCATGCTGGCACATAACCCTCTTCGCCCTTCGTCTTCGCCCTTGCAGAAATGACGCCATACACCGATGGAAATCCGATGCGGACTGCTGTCCCTGGCCCGCGCTCCTTACCGCGCTGAATAGCGAATTTCTTCTGTTTGTGAGAGATATAGCCGTGCATAAAGCCTTGTTCTATCAATGAGCAGATTATGGCTTCGACGTCGACCATAGTCCAAGTCAGTACTGTGGGAGTTTCGTCTTCGCCACCTTCGAGGTCCTCGTCGATGTAAGGGGCTGGCTTATTAGGATTACGCTCCTCAAGGAACTGTGCGAGGCTAATGACGTCCTGGAGGTTGAGGGTTGGAGCTCTTTTTGCATCTCCCCGAAAGCCATTCAAGACAAACGTCTTCCGGGCTAGGCTTCTCCAGACCATAATCTCGCATCTGTTTCTCAGCGGGAGCAAGATGCCCTTTTTAAGGAACCATGGTCTATGCTCGCCATTCAAACTGTCCTGAAACCCTACAAGGTCTCCTCTTGCAATCGCCTTACAAACGGGTAGAAATATTTGTGCTAAGCCCGCAGCTTCAGGCCGTTTGAGGATATCTACGGACGGAAACCTGCCAACTATGATATTCGCAGTTGTGAGATAAATGAGGATGTGGCGGCGGTGTTTGAGGCATTGGGGAAAGCACTGGTCGTATGCGGCTTGTAGTGCAGTTAGACCTCGAAGGAATTGGTTGTTGGAGAATAGAAACCTGCCCAGATAGTAAAGGTAGGTGACACGGTGTGACGCGGGATAGAACGAGAGGGGTGGTGAGTGTTGGCTTATATTTGTGAAGAGCTGGGTTGCTAGGCGTGTCTTGCCGCACTGCAAAAACTAGATGATTAGTTTAACGATATAAAAGTTGGGTTTCTATGATGGGGGTTAACCTGGAAGAGCAACTTGAGCACGAGATTCGCAATAGTATATATTCCTGTTTTCTTCCCCGCTAAACGCTCTGTGGCACTCTTTGTCCTATCAATAAGACATATTGTGAACGCCCTCTGGAGTAATTCGGCCGTGGATTCGACCATTGTCCGCTTAACGGCCGAGTCATCATCACCACCCATGAACGCTTGTCTCTGAAACAAATGTGCGATTAGATCCGGCCGCTTGTCGAGCATAATAGCAAGCTTTGAAAGAGCAACCGATAACGACTTAGTGACGGGAAGAAGCACAACACCCATGGTGGGATTGGATAGTGCTGTGATGCATTGACTGGACAGGCATCAATACGGGCATCTCAGATTTCGCAAGGCGCCATGCGCTCCTGGCAATAAGTAGGCTTACTTGACGAGTCCACTGAGCAATTCATGCGTATCCACCAAATTTTCGAAGTTCACGTCCCTCCAAAACTCCAGGTAGGATTTCATAAACTCCACAAATCCTGGCCATGACCCTCCTTCAACAGGGTCTGGGCCATCATCAAACTCGGGAAGAAGACTGCTGCATTTCCCTTCTAGAAGGTGGCTCTCCTCAAATTCGGGCGGATAAAATTGTCGTACTTCGGCACCTAGTGTGAGGTAAATTTCTGGAACCGGCGGTTCAACACGCAGATAATCTTGAATCTGCACAGCATCCTTTGTGCGGAGGAAGCCAGCGATGGCGACCAGGAACGTGTCGATGGTCGGGGTCGACATGCCGATGTTCACTGCATAAACGGTGAAGCGGAGCTGTGTGTTATCATGTTGAACCGCCTTACTTCGCTTGTTTCTCCGTAAATACAATCTGTTGTTTTGTTGTTCCTGGCGATAGTTGAACCAGCTTTTTGCTCCACTCAGTTGGCGCCGCTTTAATTGGTAAACTGGGTGATGGTTAACTATTGACGGCCTGAGTGTCCTTGCCCCACAGGGTTCTATCTAGTGAAAATTGACAAAAACGTACAGACTATCATTAGAATATAAGTTTTATAGTATTTAATAAGGCTAGAGGTTACTATAGGGCGGGTAGTCTGCCTCGTATGGTCGAGGCAGCCCCTATTTCCTCCTGTATATAAGTTGTAAATGGATCCTCGTTATAGACAGTAATCAAGCAATCCTCATCGATATCCTCACTCCTAGTCACATGAATTTTTAATAGTGCAGATGTCGCTTTTCGCCTCCAACCTTCGTCCCGAAACTGCCTATCCAGCCGGTCTTGATCACTCCGTTCTCCTGCCGCTTCTAGGAGCTTATTTTTTCTCCTCAGAATCACGACCCTGCCCCAACAATATCTCTAAAGCCCGCTTAGCATCCTCCTTCTCAGCATCACCAGCTGTGAGCGCATAGCCAGCTAGCTCTCGCACTTCTACTTCGGTTCGCAAGCCTGTCTCCTACTCGCAAACGACTTCGGCCGCCATTAGATTCCAATCCGTATCGCCCACCTTGTGGACGTAGGTTCCATCGAGCACGAGCATATGCACAGGCTTGTACTCGGGAGTCTAGGAGAATGCAAACGGCCGGATATCTCGCCCCTGCCTTAATAATAATAGGACAGCAACGGAAGCCCTACGCGTGTGTACTCCTCGAACGAGATGGCGGGGATAGGCGGATTGATGCCCGTGACCGATTTAAAGGCTGCGGCGTTGAGAACCTGGATGTTGACGACTCGGACAGCGTCCCAACCCCACATTCGGCAGCCCCTATCCTCGAGAATGTCTTGTCTTACAGCACCACCAGCACCCAACGCAAGCCTCGTTTTGTGACCATAGCCCCCCGGCTTGCGCTTGACGACCCATCCTCTTCCGCTCAGGGTTTTGATATCTCCAGCTCGTAGAGGGGCAGGTAGCAGGGATACGCTTTGCCGTGTAGGTCCCCCATTTGCCATTTTAGCGGATCGTTATAACGTGCCTAGAGGTCCAAGAAACGTGGTTTTTGTTGACCATACTAACCGTTGCCTGTCTTCTTCAGGATCTCTGCTTTTACTCATTGATAAAATGACGCCGCATCTTCGAATGGCGATGCCACGATCTCGAGGACAAAACTCGGCGGGCAGATTCTCTACTTCTTTGTGAAGCTCACCTGTAACCTTAGTCTCAAACTTGACCGTGATCGGGAGGACTGGCCGGAGAAATAGAGGTATTCGATATGATACTCCACACATTCGACACGGACGTCATCGAATGTGTGCCTAATTGTGATTTCTTTCCGTTCTAGTCTGCAGGACATGAGAGTGCGGTTGAAGAATGAGAATGAGATGAGGGTTTTGTCCATGTTGACCGCATAACCTGTGGAGGAATCGTAGGAGATGTCATCTGTTGTTGCCGCAATGGATCTTGCAGATTGGTTGG